ACCACTTAGCTTTAAAGCATGTCTACTTGTTCCATCCTTGAAAAAGAACAGTTCAAAGAAAAAATTAAATGCCCCAAATCATCATGACATTCACGTACACGAGTGTATGTAAACTTGTGACCACAAATGTATAGCCTCACACTGACTCTGGTTTACTTACAGGGATTACAAACCCAGCGGATTTTGAGGAGGAAGCGATCCATGATCCCAACGGGGAGACTTTAACCTTGGAAGCCAAAATGCAGCCTCTCCTGCTTGACTCCATGACAAAAAGCAAAGATGGTTTCCTTGGAGTAAGACAATACCAAACTCTGCGTGCTTCCTTTATGCTGCTGGTTTATTGTTCTCTTTCTCATCGCTGCTCTACAGCGTCTGCAGAGGACTGCTTTAACCAAAATCACAGCACAGAAAATCCCAGAAGGGGCTAAATTATAGCATGTTGATGCAGTTATTGTTGATAAATGTGCTTGTACATTGTCTGACTGTCTTACTCAGCTCTTTGTGAATGCAGCTCATTCAAAAGGTGCAAGCAGCCTTGAATTGAATCCAGAATGAAACTGCTGAGAATTTGTAATGCTTGTGCTTTCCAAAATTACCTTCCTCCATCTCTTTCAGGTTTCTCACAGCTCTCTGAGCGGGCTGCGGTCCTGGAAGAGCCCAGCAGTGCCTTCTTCGTCCTTCTCTGCAAGCCAGTTTAGGGTGTTCTTGCCCCCGAAGAACAAGATAGAAGTCGGTGACACGTGGTGGGTGATCCCCAGCGAGCTCAACATTTTCACTGGATACCTGCCCAATAACCGTTATCACCCTCCCACACCGAGGGGCAGAGAGGTAGCCTAAAAATCCATCTCTGTTTGGCCTATGGTTAGATTGTAACATGCGATTATTGCACTGTATAGTGGCTGATGGTTCTTTGGCTCTTGGTGCAGGTACTCATCCACTCCTTGTTGAGCATGTTCCACCCTCGGCCCTTCATCAAAACCCGCTTTGCTCCACAGGGCGCAGTCGCCTGCATCCGAGCCAGCAACGACTTCTATTATGACATTATCTTCAGGTGAGGAGGGAGTAAGGAGGATGGCGGTGTTTTTTAATACGTTTGAACTATTAAACTGCAAAATATGTGTACGGTATTATGCATTAGTGCTGATTGATGTCTAAAGCACACAGTGAATTTTAAATTTATTACGAGTCACTGTGTTCACTTTATTATTCTGTCAAAGGTTTTACAGGAATTCTGTGTGGATGAATTCCACTTTTAGTTCGTAAGGAAGCAAAAGATGGAATTATTTGTTTTTATGCTCATTCATGACTTTTTAGTTTCCAGCTT